GATTTGTGCGTCTTACGCGAATTGAATTTGAAATGAAATCAATTTTATTAAAAGTGCGATAAAGGATCGAGCACAAACTGAAGGTCCAACTATAGCTTTAATGTGCTGAGAGTACTTATTTGTATTGGCAGAAAGACATCTTAAGATTTCACTTGAGATTTCTAAGCAAATGAAACACTTCGTTATTATTTGTAAAAATAGTTAAGGTTATTTAAAGTGCTATACAAAATCATAACAAAATGGAACGACTTAATATTAGTTGATTATAAATTAGCATTTTAAAATAACTTGAATACCTGATTGACTATATAATAGTTTCATATTAATGAACACCCTTTTAATAACTTTCTTAAAATATTCAATTTAGTTTTTTGTACTTTTTATGGAATAAATCCCTCTTCAACAATCTGACCCCTCGATTGGGTTATCACACTGCGGACGCTTTGAAGTGGCCAAAGTCTCGAAGGGCCCCGGGCACTATTTGGCCTAATGAACTGTTTTGGGGCCTGGCTTAATGCTGATTTGTGTACAAAGAGCGCTCGACTGCTAAACCGTTCCACATTCGCCCCGTGGCCCTGGCCATGTGCCAGTTTCGGGACTCACACTTAGCCGGGGACAGACGGACAGCTCAACCGATTCGCCGCATAGGCCGTGGAGCACCTTGGACCGAGTCGCCTCCGGGCTAAAAGGACAGCAGCAGCCGGAAACAAAGAAACATCGGTCCGAAGTGTGGCAAGAAGGGCACGACTGTGTCGGCCTTTCAGTGTCGCTTAGCGAAATTGGCCGTAATGTCTCTGTCTGCCCCATGTCCCTGAATTTGCCTCACTTCTGCTGCTCCTTCTGCTTCTGCTGCGGCTGCTGCATTGTCTAACCACAGTATATATGGCATTAGCCACCGCCTCGTTCTTTACGACTTAGTCGTGTGTCAGCTCCAGCTGCGGCTGCTCCTGCATTTTTCATTAGCCTGCGCACTTTCTTCTTGTTTCATTCTTTTTCCTTTTTTTTTGTTGTTGTTTTTTCCTTGGCCCTCGGTTCACCTGTCCGAATGTCCAGGCCCCCCCTCCCCGAACGATTGCTCCTTCTTCTGGCCCCTTCTGATGTTGCAAGTCCATTTTGCACTTGATTCTGCGCCACTCGGCTCAAGTCGTTGCTTTCTCCAGCAGCTGCATAATAAAATTGTACACGGGCCAAATCGTTTGGGCTGTCGGCATCTGTTTCCTTGGCCATGGATGCTGAAATGTGACTATACGAGTGCTGTCACAGATTTGTTTTCAATTGTCCAGAGATTGAGATGAGGGTGCGAGTAGATAATCCTGAGCTCAGGAGGAAAATTAAATGAATTTTGGCAATAATACTGCAAAAACAATATGTTTCTATTGATTTAAAGTTACTACTAAATTGCTTGTTTCTTATTTCAACGATAAAAAAAAAACCTAGAATTTTTTATAGAACAAATAGCAGTGGACAAAAAAATAGAACAAAAAACTTTTAAATGATTCGCAATTCGACAATTAGTTTCATTATTTAATTCACCTAATAAAAACCATACCACTTCGTATTTTTTAAACAAAGGCAGAAAACAAAGAAAACATCAACGATAAGTATGTTTTAATTGATTCAACACATTATCGACGTATACAACACAATTTAACAGACTGCTGTGAGCAAAAAAGCAAGCCAAGTTATGCACTCGAACAAACAATCAACGAGCACGAATAAATTGCTGTCATTAATGGCCTACACTTCCTGTTCGCCAAGGGGAAATCGGGAAATCGTCGACGAGAACATGTTAATTTTCGACGCCGCCAGCCAATTGCGGCAAAACAATTTATTGTTACACAATGGAAACAAAAATCAATGGCGATAATCAAAATGGAAAAAACCCACTCCGCACTAATCTTTGTATAAATGTAACCGCTCTGTGGATAACGCTTGTGGGACCTTCACCCAGTAATTATCATTAATTATAGGGGCATTAAGGCGACGCCGACATGTTTAATTAGGGAACTTGTTGTGAAGTAGAAAAATTACCAAATAACTATAGGGGCTGGACATATTCCAGAAATTGTGAAACAATAAATGGTTCTTTGCTAAAGAGTAGAAAAAAGGATATAAAACAGAGACAGTATTTTAATAAATATATTAGTTAGATCTTATATATTTTGAATGACTTATTAAATTGACAATACAACAAAGTTGTTCTTTACTTCTAACTTTAGAATATAACAAAAGTTTTTGTGCCAAAAATAAATAATTTTCCGCTGACTTTTTGGCAAATTTCGATTTTCCATTAAGCCCTCTGCACATAACATAGCCCAGTTTTATTGGCTTTGGCTTCCGTGTGCGGTCTTCATTAGCGTTTTGTCGCCTTCATAAGTCAGTCCCGATTGAAAGCATTTTCGACGCTTTGTTGTAATTTTTACAACATTTCTATTTAACCTTCTCCGGCTTTTGTTTGTCCGCTCGCATTGCGTGAGTTTCGCCACACGGAAAGGTGAAGCTACTTAGTAAAAAAAAAAGAAGCACGAGGTTGCCTTTTGGCCCTATAAATAGGAAATCCATCGAAGGACCAAAGATATTGGCTAACCTGAAGATTACCAGTTGGCTGTGCGAAATGTTAAATATTGGCAAAAGGTGAAAGTTTAATGAACACATGGCGTGTGCGTATTCGCAAGAACTTTTGATAAAATTAAATGGCAAATATTTGAGGAAAATATTCAAAACGCCACGTGTACAAACGGGCGTATGCGCAATATGAATAATTCAAAGAAAACGTATAAGGGATAAATTACCGTGAAATTATAGCTTTGGTGATGTTACAAAGACATATTTATAATCGAACTTTTCATATTCGGAATTCGGGGAATTTATTTAAAAAAAAAAATATACAACACATTTTTAATTTTTATAGAATTAGAAGTTCAGGTAAATTATTAAGGTACAAATATACTATATCTCGGCTTCTCTGACAACTATTCAATTTATAAAAGTTGTTAACTTGTCTGAAATCGAAACTTGTCGAAGTTTGACTGCAATTACCAGCTCAAACACCTGTCACTCAGGTCGTAAACTTACCAAATATTTTGAAAACTTCCCAAAGGTGCCGCACCTCGGCCTTTGGTCCTTTTTTGGCCCAATCCTTGGAAACCTCCATGCATCGCCTTTGCGTACGTGCGTTGCCTTTGTGCCTTTCCTTTTTTTTTTTTTTGGCTCTCCAGTGGCCTTCGGTGGAGTCTCCTCGTTGTTCGTCAATCAGCGTCGCAAATTGTTGATTACACCTACATTAAGTCAAGGGCAGGACACCAGTTACAGTTCCAGCTAAAGCTACAGCTACAGCTACAGTTATGTGGAGCAGCCGATCGATACTTTCTCTCCACTTTCCTTTCCAACGAGCATTCGGTTTTTCTGGCGCTCGCTTTGTGTGACTGCGATTTTGCACACGAAAAGCAAACGAAACCAGAAAACGTGGCTCTACATACAAAGTCCATCATGTTCACTTATATACACCAACTATATAGTCATATATATCTGCTGGGGTTTCCTTCCTTACTTCCTTCCTCCTCATCGTACACATCTATATATACATATGTATATATATATATACATATAGGCCAGCCTGTTTGTGTGTCGTTTTATTTGCCCTATTACTGGCACGCAGCATATTTAGTGGCTGGCTTAGTGACATTGCCTTGTTTATAGTCGCGGCAACATGGAGCAGGATGGCTCTGAACCCGGGGGTCTAGTCACTCATTAGCCAGTCTACGTGTTGGCCACTGCACGTGTATGCAAAGCGGGTGGGTCCCTAACTAGATGATGCCATCTACGACCCGACGTTTGTGCAATTTAAACCGACATTGACTGTTGGTTGTAAAAAAAACACAAACAAATCTGCTCCAAAACTATGTTTCTTTCGAACAGTTAAAGGAACATTTGGGCAAAAAAAGAACTAACAGAATTTAATAAAAATTATAATCAAAAGAAACCAAGGATCACAGAGATTTTTTGCCAACGAAAATAATATAATATATCAACAATCAAAAAGATGGTTGCTTTACGCAGCATTTTTTTATGGGCAAAAAAAATTTTTTTTTTAATCTGTAAATTTAATAAACATTTTATTGAAAAGGGTTTTGCAATTAAACTGGATTATTCAATTTTTTTTTAATTATTGCATGGGCTGTGCTAGAGAATTTATATATGGTTTTTTAAGCTGACTGCCGATCTGCAATGAGGCATGCTGATTAATTGCTCTGGAAAATATTACTAACTTTACATCTGACTTGTGTCTTGAAGTGTGCTCCCCCATCTGCCATCTAAGTGTTTAACTCCTTTCAGTGTTCTCGTTTTTCAGTTAATGTTCCATATTTTCCATTCCTAAGTCTACCTTCCTCTCTATATAACTTTTAAGTCCTTTTACTGGCTGTTTAAATGTTTTTGGTTTTCATTTCCTAACTGTTAACTGTTTTACTCCGATGTGCGTTTATGCCTTTACCTAAAAAAAAATCTACCAAATTGGCAACCAACTTTGTTCCCCATTGATGTTGTAATTGATGACAAGACAATACTCTTGGAACCAAAACTATAAATTCAGTATTCGGTTTGATAACCAAATTTGATTGCTTTTGCATTAGACGTTATCCTTCTTGTGATGAGTTGTATTGTATGCTTTTGAAAGAATATATATATATATTTTTTAAAGATATGTGTACTATGTACTCCCCCTTAACCACAAAACCGAGAGACGATCTCACACAGCCCAAAACTAATCACTGAACTGTATATATTTTCTATGCATCTGCCCCACCACCACCGCCAATCAAAAAAAAAATCAAACCAATCAAAACCCAATCGCCACCGCAACCGCAACCACTGTGTGTTGTTGTCGTCGTCGCTTGGTGTTGGTCTCCGTGTGCTATCGTGCCATTGTTGTCACTCGGTCCCTCCGAATCGTGGTCTCGATCTCACCTCCGACTCACCGGTCTCGATTGGCCCCCAAAAAGTGCGCCCAAGGACGTGCCGCCTGGCTGGAGAGGGGGCGACGCTGCAGCGTCCAGGATCAGCAGCAGCAACAGGCCACCTGCCACCGACGCTGGGTGAAGCGCAACCGAGTAAGTGCCACCACGCAGGACCGCCCACCGCCGTGTACATACTCTACTACCTGTTATCCTGCCACTATTTGTTACCTTCCCTCTCTATAATACATCACTCGCTCTCCTCCTCGATGTCACCTTTCTTTCATGCACATCTCTCCCAGTGTCCAGCGCATTCTCAGTTAGCTGAAGCAGGCAGAAAATCCTTTTTAAAAGAACAATACAAGAAGTCATTAACCTTATTGCATAGACATATCCAACTTTTACTATTCAAAACAGCCCCTATGAATAATAATCCCATTTGTCAGGAACCACGAGAAAAGCTGAGCTTGAGGAAGAATTATTAAAGTTTGTCAATTAGAAATAACTTTGCAAAACATTCCATTCAACTCGCATTTATCTAAAGAATTTATTATTAATGGTAAAGCTAAGGGTTTTAAAGCATTTGAAAAATTAACTTTAAATATATTTAATTTTTATGATAATTGCAGAAAAATTTTTCTTCAAATATTTTTTATCTCTTTCAACATAAATTAATTAGCTTTTAAACTTCACTACCCAAATTAAAAATACTGATAAAATATAAAATTATATCATCTTGTTGGTCTTCCTCAAGTTGAGCTAAGATAGCAGTTAAATAAACTATCAAGAATCATATGCTGATAATGTATCTTAAATTGGCAGATACAAGACGCCTCGTTGGGCGGCTCGTCGGACGATGAGGATTTCCTGGGCGTTCTACGCGGTCCCAGCACCTTTGCGAACGCCTTTCTCTACGTGGGTCTGGGCACGGTGGCGCTGGGCCTCGTCATCGCATTCGTTGGCACCGGCGAGAAGGGCTTCAAAACCACGGAACTAAGACTTATAGGCCCCTCCCTCATAGGCAATAAATCAAATATATATATGTATAATGAATAAAACCTCTTTTAATAATTATTATTTAATTTAGTGTTGGGCCTAATCTGTTGCATTTTACGCATCCTCTTCTGCATCTGTCCATCGCACTGCATTTCATCCAGCAAAAAGACGCGAAAGAAAAACGGCAACAAAATTGATGCGGATCACACAACGTCGTTGCTCAGAAACGAGAGCAAAAGAGTGTCGATAGCGAGAGGACCCAGTTTTCAGGTGGCTATATCTCTATATTAAATCATCTTAAATTTTATTTACTCTCTAATTTTACTTGATAGCCCAAATACCCCATAGCGCACAAACGCAGCCAGAGCAAAATGCTCAACGAGGGAATGGAGGCACTGCGCCAAATAGCCACCACATCCTTGTTCATGCAGAACGAGCAGAAGACGGCCATCAATCGCGTAGTGCCGATCATCAACGAGCCGGATAGTGGTGGTAAAAAGATTATTATAATTAAATTATAAACTTTATTTTACCCAAAAAAATTCTGTCTGTAAGTTCATACTTTTCTGTCGGTAAAGAAATTATAGTCTGCCTTTATTTCTTTTTCCAATATTTTTAAAAATGTGTTAAATTATAAACTATATTTTTTACCCTTTCTTATAATATCTTTGTTTTCTTTAGATGCTCCACTGGAAATGAAGAAACTGCAGACGGCACTGAATGCCTGCGAAATGAGCGACGAGGAGCAGGATCAGGATCGAGATAAGGAGCAGCAGCAGCAGACGCAGCAGCAGATTGCCAAACGTACAACAGCCACAACTGCCGTTACGAGTAGTACCACCAAAGAGCCAACAGCAACATCGACATCCACAGCAGCAGCAGGAGGAGGAGGAGCCACATCGAGGGTAACGAGAGCCACCACCCTGAGCACAGTTGACGAAAAGCCGGATAGCAAGTTGGTGCGTCAGCGGGTGGCGCTTCAAACGCAACGCCAGCAGCAGCAGCAACAGGAGCAGCAGGTTCCCAAATCGCAGTCCCTGTCCTCCTCCTCCACGGTGAAGGACTCCCTGGAGGTGGTGGAGGAGACCTCACTGATCGATGCCAGCGATGAGGCAACAACGATTGTTGTTGCACCTGTTGCACCACCGCCGGCAACTGTATTGCCGAGTAGCTGCAGCACGGGTGCGATACCACGGCTAAGTCGACCGGGCATCTCGACGGGAGCCACGCCCAAGACGACAACGACGACGACCACGCCCACCATAACGGCACGGCTGCCCACGTCGCAGTCGCATCCGACGAGCTATGACCTGCCACCGGCCCTGCCGCACACCTATTCCGCATCGGCGACCGTTCGCGGACCGCTCGGCATGTCCATGAGCAGTTCGGCGGGCAAGGCGGTCCTAGGAGGAGGAACTGCCTTCACCACCATGCCGCCCACCACCAGCAGCACCACGATTAGTCTGCTCCCGCTGCCAGCGCCGCCAACTGCTTCCTCCACCGCCATCAGCAGTGGTGCAACAACAACAACAGCAACAACGTTGGCCAGCATTCCTGGCCAAGTTTTGGAAAGCGGCAGTGGAGCGACGAGTCTGAGTCTGAGCCTAATGCGACCGGCGACCGCCTCGGGTGTTGTGCTGGGCGGCCTGACCACCTCATCGTTCACCACCAGCAGCGGCAGCAGCAGGGATCAGCTAAAATCACATCCGTCATCCGCCGGATCGGTAATGGGGCGTGGCAGCAGCGGCAGCCAACTGCTTTCAACGGCAACGGCGGCGTCGTCGTCGTCGAGCAAATTCGAGCCAGAATTGGTGCTCAGTCCGGCTAAGCTTGGCCAGTAGAATTAAATGGGATTTAGTTACGATTTTAGTTAGCCACCAGGTCTATATGTATATGTCTAGAGTCTAGGCGCGAGTGTGTGTGTGTGTGTATAATGCAAACTGCGTGTGTGTGCGAGAGTGTACTTTAGAGCTGTTTGTTGTGTGAGTGTGTGTGTGGGTGTGTTTGAGTATGAGAACGATTAGAGTTTATTTAGATACCTATGTACCCTAAAACTATCTTTTGAATGTGCCACAAGAACCACGAAGCGAAAAGAAAACACCCCCCTCTAACTGAAACTATAGGCAAGGTCATGTTCTGAAATCGAGAAACAAACAAAATTTAAATAATAAATCACTAATTGGTCTGCATCAATTGGCTAGCTAATCCAAACAAGACTATACTTTCACATTCAGAACATGACGGTTGTATGTATGTTACTTCTTTTCCAACCACAAATCGCTTTCAGTGTCTGAACCTTTGTATTTCCCGAGGCTTGACTCCTCTATAGTTCGCTAAGCCACTTGGTTTCTACGCCCGTCTTTTGGATGTATCATCCAATTAAAAGCTATCGAATCTTTCCCACACTTTCTAGATCTGTTCCTCAGGCTTCAGGTGGCATAAGAATCGCCCAAGTGCTCAGCAAATCGTTGCCAACCTGCGCTGTTCTAAGCTATCCCAAAAAAAAAAAAGAAATACATAGCCAGGGTATTATAAAGTTTGTATACCAAACATATCGTTAACTAAATACGCAAACCAAACTAACACTAAATATAAAACGAAACAAAAGGAGGAAGCTTGGAGTGCCGACGGTCGACGTCCAAATTGACAAAAATTTATAAAGGTGTCTAAAAAATAACTACAAAACAATTAGATATGTATGAAAATTTTAGAGGACCGCCAGATCCAAGAAAAGCTAAACGGTTAAATGTGCAAACAATATCTGGAATATGTACGGGTGTGTGTTTCTGTAAAATTCAAACCAAAATCCAGACAGTTCAAAAGTATTAGGCGCTCTAGAATAAATCGTTGAAAGAGCTCTACAAAGTATATGAAATAGGAAATTTTAAAATTGTCTTTGTATTGCTTTAATTGAATTCAAGTTTTAAACTGTTCTACTAACTGTAATTTTTTAAACATTTTCAAGGCACTTTTCGAAGCTATTGCTAAATTCAAGAAAAAACTAATTGCTTGCTCTTTCAACCAGTACGTCCCCCAGATAAGTGGGTCGAATAATAACTAAAAACTAATAAAAACAGAATTCAATAGAATCGAATGTGGCCGTTAAATTAATAAAAAGAAGCGAAACTAACTAAATGTAACATCCCTGAAACAAAATGTGTAAGATGCATGTACAGCAAACAAAGCAGCAGCAAGACATAGAAAATTATAAACAAACTTTATGAATTAGTATGTATGTATACTATATGTGCAGAAATTAAAATGAAATATAAAAGAAACCAATCTTTTTCGTTTCCAAGAGGTCGAGTAAGTATTTAAAAGTGGTGATATATTTAAAAGATAACCGATTGATAGCTTGAAAATCGAATAGAAATCGAATTACTTACTTTACATCTAGTGTAAGGAAATTCATATATACAATCTACACCAGGCTCTGTAAAAAAAACGTAGAGGTCGCACATCACACGATGTAGATTGTCTACGTAAAATTCATGTAGGTATGGAGAAGGCACAAAAATCTCTTGAGGTTTAAAACATTTTTTAAAAAACAGAGTTTTTTAATCAACTAAAATCGAACAAAGATTGAACAAATTATGTTCTCGTCTTTGCCGGATGAAAATATATATGTCCCAATTTTGGGACACCCAAAACAAGTAGAAAACCACCTCGCCACAGTAAAATACTTTTGAAAATTTGAAAAGATATTTTAGTTTATTTCACTTGTATGGGCTTAAACATGTTTTCCAAAGGGATTTTTGTGTGTTTGTAATTTCTTTTTATCTAGGTAAATATAAGTACAACGTGAAATATAAATTTGTATGCTAGACTTGATTGGGTGGCCTCAGTTAGAGTTAATCTGTTGAAGTGAGCTGCCTTTGCTTTGCTGAGGTCGTTTAGCTGCTGTTAAGCAGTGACTTCGATTTACCTTTCGTACATTTTCCATGGTCAGCGCTTAGAAAAAGATCTACTATAACAATAATATCGTATCAGTTTTCCTTATATTTGTGTGTGTGTGAGTGTGTGTTGTATGCGTGTTTTTGTGTACCCATTACCAAACATTTCATTAGAATTCAATTCGTTTCAATTTAGTTCTCATCTTATCAATTCAGTCATGCCAAGCTCCAAAGCAAGGCTCTTCTAAAATATCGATCAGCGTTCAGTTCCAAAAATCATTATCTTTTTTCGTGAATACCTAAAGTTGGGTCTTTGTTTCATTGTCGAGGATCTAAAAGTGCTACAAGGTTATATTTTGTTCAAATTTATGAATACATATTTTAAATACTTGTTTGCTTGTTTATCTATATTTGCTGCTGTGTGGGCTCTACTACGGTTTGACATTGAGTTCTAATTGATTAATCGTGTGTGAATTTCTAGGGATTAACATAGACACCAAAAACATGATTACTTAGTTGGCTTTTGTTTTCGCTTCTCCGTTTCTATAATCGGTTAAATTCTTATTGAAATTTGTATTGCTTCACTATAAGCTGCAATAAAGTATATCAAAGGCCTGTTCGGGCGGCATTCTGGGTGCTCAAGATCCCTCCCCTTTCAGTGCAATCTTTTCTTTGTTCTTCCTTTCCATAAAAATTCCTGATAATGCTTGATTTCTATAACATACTCATACTCGCTTTGTATCCGTGTTCGAAGTGGCTGTACTTTAAGCTGATAAAATAAATATTACATGCGACTTTAGTTATGTTACTTCGCCATTAATAAAACATCAGTTTAAAAGTTTTTTCGTTTTGCATATCAGAAAGATATTGATTTGCCTGTTCTGCTCAAAAAAAAAAAAAATATTTAAAACTGACCTTTAATTGTATTTCACAATTTTTTTCTGTTATACACTTGTATCACACCAATTTATATGCTGGCGGGTTGTTACTCGTTAAGTAATTGCTATCTTTATCAATTATCTGCGAAACACAGATGATACATCTATTATTATTATAACACAAAGCCGATCTTGTAGAGGACAAAAAGATTGAGTGCGTTGTCAACGCTCACTTTCAACATTTTATCACCCTTGCGCTTCAGCGAAGCCTGTCTTACATGTCTACCAACTATGAAATGCAAAGTAACCGCCACTGAGTACTCTTAGTACACGTTTCGCATAATATGCCTGGGGCTTACTGGGGTTACGCCTCGTTCCTATTTATGTACAAAACACCGATATCCAGATAGCAAGTACCCTCGTTACTTAGCTACTATCACACACACTGACTGAACCTGTTGCTTGCCGCATTGTTGCATTGTCAGAGAGGTTTTACAACTAGTATCATAGCTATTTTGTGAGTATTGCTTCATTTTTATACAGGGCTTTTGGTTACTCTAGGCTTTTCTTAGCATATTTATTGAGTTTTTGTTTCCACCTTGATATTTTGCCGTCTTGGGAAAGGGGGTAAAATGTGGATTTCATTTTCAAAATCAGAAGTTGGATTTCCTTATTGATTGTGGTTGCAAACGAAATGAAATAAAAAATCAAAAACGTCCTTGCTAAGTATTTATTTATGTGGTACACAATTGAAAGTGTATATATTGAAGAATCCTCCGGGCGACCGAAGTCTTTCATTACACAAGTTAAAGTTCGGCATGTCTCTAGTTCAAAACGGTTTCATATTTGCTTTCAAGTTAAGACTAGAAACTGGATCTTAATGTCTACGCTCTACTTTGAGACTGCACTTCTATATGGCTCGATAAGGTTACTTATTAGTTATTTAATATGTTTGCTTGTTTGTTATTTGTTTGTATGAAAAGTTCTCTGAAGGGCTGGCTGCCTGCCTGCTCAGTGTTCATTTACAGGCATCGACCAATTCGGACAAGCGGACGCATTCAAATATTTACAATGCTATGTGGACATGCCCGCACTTTGATGTAATTATTTTGTTTGATTAACTTGGAATTGTTGGGATTGTACAAAGATGTGAACCCAACAAAACCAAGTTAATGGGTTTCCAAAAAAGAACGACAAAATACGAGAGATCGTGTAAAAGTTTGGCATTTTGCCCTAAAAGTTTATGCTATTTTACAAATATACAATATATGCATATGTAGATGTATATCGCTTATGATTTGATTTGACTTGTTGATTGCCTACGAGCTAATAATACCTTAGGTTTGCACTAAGATTTCCATATCGTATGTAAGTATACGTGTATAAGTATAGCTATATATAAGTAATGTATACAATTGTATAATATTGCAATTTCCAAATGTTCAGTTTCAATATGATGTTTTTTTTTTGTATGGTTGAGGGATCGGGAAGTTAATGGGTCGAAGGTGGTGGACTGGTGGCCCGATGGAGCCAACCGTATATAGGTTACAATACAAAATTGCTTGTCTTCACTTGGTTAATAATAATATTACAATTTCTGTTGTCATTTCAAGGGGGTTTTTCGTCGTCCACAGCGACGTCTCATTTACAAAGTTGATCCCTATACTAATACTACTCGCTACAAATATATATATGTAATTATATGTTACGACAGAGATTTTTCTTTCCTTTTTTTTTAGGTGTTAACCCAGATTCAAATTTTCTTTGAATTCACAATACAGTTTTCGTTTCGTGGTTTGTCTAACGAAGGAAAACGCAAAATAAGATACTTTTGTCTACTTTTGTGGTGTTTTTTGTGCATTAGCGCCATAAGAGATGCATTAAATTGTGTATGATGATTATATATAACTCCAAACTCCTTTAAGCCATGATCAAAGGGCAAACAGGGGATCGAATTTTGCTTTGAATTAAGAAGAGTCTTCACAGATTTATGACTAAGACCTTACATTGATGTTAACAAAGGTGTTTTTACTCCTCAACACTGTGCACAAATTAAAATATAAATTCATTTGATTTTGGCTGGATGCCTGCTCACAAAATTTTACAGATCTTAAACGAAGCATAATTTTGTAGAAAATGCTCTACCAACAAAATGCTCTTATTATTATCTTGTACTCGAAACATAAGTCACTTTTAAAAATAATAATAATACATGTTTCACGCAGGGTATGTGAGAAATACAAAATAAAAACAAAATTAGAAACGAATATTTTTGTTCTTGTTTAAAATTAGGCTAATTTTTTATGGGGTGATCATTTTTACAAATTCATTTTTGTTTGTGTATAAAACTAGTGAATAATTAAATGGACAAACAATCAAGTATTTCTTCATTGAGATTGATTAACTAAAAAAAAATACTTATAAAGAATAAATATACAATTCCTTTCGAGTACAAGACATTAAGAAGGTCCTGGATGGGATCTTGTGTAACAGGCCAATCCTCTTGCATGCCCTTTGTCCATGGACGTCTTTAAAACAGCCCCTTGGCGCCGGCAAACTTGCGTCGCCGGAATCACATGAGTCATCATTTGAGCGTATTGTAAATGTTATCCTCCCCGGCCAGCTCCACGGTGGTGATGTGGGCAGCATGCCGCTCCCCCAATGGTTCCTCGCCCAGGTACACGGTGTGATAGCTGATGGCGCTGCTCTTCACCGCCGTCGCCGCTCCATTCACCTCGATGCGACTGACGGACTGTGGTCCATTGACCGAATACTTGAGCGACGCATAATCCCCATCATCGTCCGGCATCTGAGTGCTTTGGGTGGCGCCCGAAAAGGTGTCCGCGGTGTGCGAGGGACAGATCTCCGCGTAGATATTCTCCTTCGTATAATCCAAGGCGGGAACTGGTCTGTTGGCCGAATCCGATCGCAGACAGCCGTCGCCGGAGATCACCAGCGAATCGCGTACACTCGAATAGGGCAGATCGTCCTCCACCAGCGAAGGCGGTAAGATCGGCACGTGATTAAGTCCGCCGCCCAACAGGCAAACTCCTCCCGCTGCTCGCCTTCCGGTGATCGGTACCTTGACCAGTGACTGTTGCTGTGCCTTCAACAGCATCAGATGACGCTTCTCCTTCTCGGCCGCCTCGTGCAGCTGCAACTTTTGCGGCAGCGAAAAGTGACGCAACTGGTGCAAGCTGGACGATGACTTGCTGTACTGGCGGGTCTTCACATGGAACTCGTTGTACAGCTTCTCGGTGATGAAGGACTGCGGCGGCGGCGTCTGGTTCTCCACGTCCTCCAGCTCGGTGCCCGCCTCGCTGATGGCATCGCTGTGATTGTGGCTGGCCAGCAGATCGGGTCGCTGCTTGCACTGGCCATTCAGCAGCTCAATATCCTGCAGCGACATCGACTTCTGCAGCATTGTGTCCAGCGAATTGGGCTCCATGGTGGTCAGCATTGTGGTGAGCATTGTGGTCTCGGTATCGGAGGCACCAGTACTGTTCAGCGATATGCCATCCTGTTCCGGCTGCTCGGGATCCGAACCGAATCGCTCTTGCAGCAACTTGGACATATCCGTATAGCGCTCCATGCTCAGTCGCTTGGCCTGCTCATCGAGATCCAGGCTGGAGGGTTGTTTCTCGATCTGCTGCTGCTGCTGCTGTGGATGATGCCTGCCGAACCACTTCTTCTTGGTCGACTGGAATACCCGCATGCGCTCAGAGATGCGATTCAAACTGGATTCCGATTGGGCTGCAGAAGCAGCTGCCGCCGCCGCCGCTTCCTTGGCCTCCAAATTCTCCAGATCGGATTTGCTGAGGAAGATGATCGATTTCTCCTTTTCGTGCGCCGCTGCCATGGTGCTCTTCTCGCGTCGCAGGATCTTTGGAAAGTGCAATGGCTTCAGGATGCGCAGACCCTCCCGATTCTTGCTTCCCGAACGCTCCGATCGCTGAATCAACTCAATCTCCACCAATTTGAGGAACGGATCGCAGTTGAACTGACAAAACTTGAGCATATTCTGCACATTTGTGTTGGCAAGCATTCGCTGTTCGGAATCGAAACCAAGGTAACTCTTCACCAGCTGGATATTCCGACTGGGATAGAACTTCCTCAGCTGCAGTGGCGTCTGGGTGTCCACGTCCTCGATGGAACAGCCCACGACCACGTCCTCCTTGCTCACCTGACTGATGCACAGCTGCTCGGGAATGTCGTGACCGCCGGGACCAGAGATATATCGCAGTGTCAGCGGCAGCTGTTTGGCCGCCGTGACCAAAACACCCAAACGATACACACATTCCGGATTCAATTTGCGCTGGGCATCGCCCAGTTTCTGGAGCAACTGAGGGATTCCCGGCTCGATCTCGTAGAACTTGCCCTTGGTGGACAATGGTACGTACATCACCTGGCGGTTCTCATTCATCAGCTGGGCATACCGGTTCTTCTCCTTCTCACGTCCCATGTAGCCAGTCAAATGGGACTTGGCCACGTTCACGTTGCCGTGCTGCGACACATTCGCCTGCTCCTGTTTGCCATCCTCGAAGACGGCCAAAAGCTTGAATACCTGTCCCCCCCTCGCCGTCGTTTTAACGTACTGCGGACGCCCCTTGGTAATGGGCAGGCAGCCCTCGTGTGTCGGACTACTTGTGCTGTTCGGTGAGGATTCGGTGAACGCCGGCATATTGTCCACCGAGGCGAACTTGTAGACCCTTTCGCGCACCAACTGAATCAGGGATCCGTACTGCGTGGCGGTGGGCAAACCCTTCTCGTTCAACAGCGAAAAGTAACCTGCGATAAAAGAAATTGGAGCATAAGTAAATGTGGTCGCAAAGTCAACACTCTCTCAAAAAGTAAAAGGGAATAGATAAACATTTTGTTGCATTTTAAAACAAAGAAAATAAAATTTCTCTTGATGACTGCATTTAAAAACAACAAAAAAAAAGTAAAACAAATAATTTCGAATTCATTCGATTTTTAAATCTCTTTGAACACGACACATAATTTGGTTTCTGCCAATGAGCAAATCTGTTTACCGTCGAAAATCTTGAAACCATTTTTCCGACAGCTGACAGCTTTGCACTGAGTATAGTACGCGATTTGAAATCCAAAAATGAGTAAAATGAAAATAAAACAAATAAACTGACGTGCCGGCTGGCAATAATACACCATCGTTCTATATATTCATACATATACGTGCTAAGAATGGACCACAAAAATTGTTTTGCCAATCATTGACAGGTCTTAAATTATTTTAAAATTTAAGTGCCAATAATAGATTTATTTCCATGTAATGATGATTATGTACAATCATAAAATGTATGTATATGTAAAATGTAGATGTATATGCAATTAAGAGTTACATGTGTAAAAGAGTCTATTAATCAATCCATTTTGTTTAATTCGCGCCACTGAATTCGAATTATTGAAATGCAAAAAAAAAAAATGTGTGGTAAAGAGCCTAATGCAATCAATGTCGAGAGCAATTGAATCAACACAAGAAAAATCCAATATGGACGTGCAAATTGAATCACTCCAATTTGCCATCAATTTTTTTTTCTTCCGGACATTGCAAGCCTAATGAATAAAATGATAATACCCAGCGTCAGTGAGTCTATAAATTGGCAGATTGCATAATATTTGCACACATTGGTTTACATTGCGCCTCGGCAAACGGCTGTGAAAAGTCACATGGCGTAGCGAGTTGAAACAATGGCTGACCGCAGTTCGGTGGTGCAGGAAGTGGTGGGTGGTGGTGTAGGTGGTGCTGGTGGTGGTGGTGGTACCCCCGAAGAAGTCACCACTGACTGACTGACTGGGCCAAAAACCGGCGGCCCCCGAATAGAGCCCCCATTGCATAATGCCTGATGAGCAATAGTTGCGATTACTTTCCATTGTTGAACTGTGACTATGTCACGCAAATCGCAAAAAAATAAAAATACAAAAAAAAATAAAAATAAAGGGGGATGCATGTGTATGGATTGTGTGTACTTAGTAACCTCGCACTGGGAGATCACAGTTCGCTTGGCTGACTCACTAAGTGAGTTAGTTAGTTACGAGTGGACCGTGTAATCAGGCACAAGTTAGCAACTAAATGCATTCGTCATGAGAACACTAAATTGTGGCTTCAAAGGCTGCCGTCCGGCTTATGTAAATGGCCATACGACTATAATCTGCCGTGTTCGTGCCAAATCAGTCACAGGGCACTTAAAATCATTCGGTTATGCCCTCAGCTACTGCCAATCAGCGTATCAATCGGTGGGTCATTCGAGTTAATTTACTGCGAGCGATAAATTAACCTCCCTCAACGAAACGACAACTTGTTTGAAGCCGCCCTCGTCAGAGCCAACTTGTAATTAGACTAAGCCGCACTAGTTAAGCCAGTTGAAGGTTTTTGTAAAGCGAAATTCTTCCCTCATCTGAGCTATTTAAAATGCATTTTTGGATTAAATTACTCCCGGCAACAAACAATAAGTAATTACCCAGCAATCCCAGAGAAACTATGTAAGCAAGGAAATCTGGTTAATAACGTGTCAAATCAAACTAATTATTGCAAAAACCTTTTACAGCAGTTGTTACTTGATTTCGTTAATTATTAACATTCTGACTTTGTCCATAAAATCGTTTGAGCGGATGCTAATACATATATATGATTAATGACTAATTAATTTTAGCTTTTTGTGATATTAGAGCATTAATTTATCATGGCTCTTTTTGATTGTTTTAGGTTGTAAAATCAGAATACAGATTTACGCATACATACAAAAAAAAAAACGTATTTTTTGTGCCTTTAAAATAACATTTACAACGAAACAAATTTAAAAGCTTTTATAATTGAAAATTGTATGCATTTTAATTATTCGCACATACAAAACGACGTCACCACAATATCCAGAATAATTTACCACTGAAAGTTAATTAAATCATCAATTTGTGAAGCTCACCCGGAAACTCCTGTGGAATGAGCACAGTCTTTTTGCGCTGCGAGGCCTGAGTCTTGGCATTGTGTCCGTGGTAGATGTTCCTCTGTCGCACCAGCCTGTACAGTAGAAATAGCTCATCGTGGCCGGGTGGAGTGGTGCCACCGTTGCTGCTGCTGCTGCTATGCCGTCCGTTGTTGATCTGGTGACCAGCAGCAGGACCTGGACCAGAACCCGAACCAGAGCCAGGACCAGAGCCAGTTCCGTTTCCGGTGCCGCTTCCTCCGCTGGACGATGAATGGGTGCCGGTGCCGTTGCCGGTACCGTTGCCAATGTTGCCACTGGAAGCATTCGTGCCACCGCTGACCGGATTAACTCCCGTCGAGGAACTGCTCGATGCCGCCGTGGATGAGCCGTGCGATGAGCTCGACTGCAGAGTTTCGTTGGAGCACTTGCTAGCATGCAAGATGCGGACGACGCGGGGCAGGGGATTCCGCTCAAGAAACACATCGGCGGGCAGAGCTTCCTGCTGTGACTATCAAAAAAAAAGGTAGAATATTAGTTGTCAACTCATTTCGAATATCATTTCAGTATCTTTGAGTGTTCATCATCCATATCTTTAATTGAACAGTTGTTTAAATTGGTTTAATGATATAAATCTCTATTCTTTAATTTAATTTGGCATTTTAAAAAAGCTTAGCAATTAACGAAACAAATGTCTCGAATTAAAACTGTATGCAAAAGCCGTAAGCTTAATTGCCATCAAATTAATAATCCCAATAGACGAGGGATTGTTTCCCCGAAAGATTTTTTCCGAGATTAAAACCGATTGACGTCACAAAATTTACACTGAATGAAATTGTTAATATATATCTTAAGACAACTGAGCACCATTTTAATAACATTTCATTTAATAACGTTTTGAAAATTTATTTGATTGTTTGGCTTTGCAGCTTAATATTTCAAAATTGGACCCAAGGAAAGATAATCTGACAACCTCTTCTCAAAGTTCATTATACTTCCAAGCCAGCAATCTAGATTAGATTTTCGTTTGAAATTTGTTTCGAAGGAATTTCTATGGCTTCCCGGTTTTTCTATTTTATTGGTATTTATGATGCGATATTTTCCTCTGTGCGAGTGAGTTGAACGCCTCTGATGCAAGCTTACCTCGCTGCTGCCCTTGGAGGCCTTGCTGTCCCCGGTGGAGTAGTCGTGGCTGCCATTAAGTGCGTCACAGAATCCGGAATAGCCAAGCACTAGTCCCGATCCGCCGCCCAATCGGTGGTACAACTCGATCTCGTTGCGACGGGCCAGGCGGGCGTTCTCGAAATCCGCCACCGAGAACATATTGGAGCTGATGTCGTGGGAGTTAAAGCGACGCAGCTTCGGCTTGCGCGGCACCGCCGCCGAAATGTGACCGTGATGGGCGCCAACCGCAGCTCCACCTGCAGAAAAATTACATACATATACATATAGTACATATGGGTGGATGAAAAACGCAACGAGGAGTAGCACATTGTGCATTGGTGAGGTAATCGCATAAATATAAATGCACATGTGAGTGTCTAATTGCCACCCGTTGTCTGCAGTGGGAAAAACCCACACACCGTCGTATCAACTTCCACATCTACAGAGCGGCTGAGCTCCAAGTAGTATAGTTTATTCCCCCAAGTGAATTTCAGTTGGCGTGACGCAACAAAAAGGCAAGTGGTTCAAAGCTGTTGCTAAGCGCAGCTAATTTTCAGTCAACGGTCAACGAGACGATGACACACAGTGGGCAAATTTCGCCACAAAGCGGAACCGCAAATTTAACAAGAATTTTCACAATAGAAACAATGTCGAAAGATCTTGCGCTGAATTTTAAGTGGGTAAAAATCGAACTTTTATTGTTCAAGAAAGACATTTTTAGACCAAAAATAATAAAAGAATACCGAATAGCTCGCACCTGCACTCACTCAATATTCTTGCTCTCAAGTTTGTAACACAAAGTTTCAAGGCCACACCTGTTGAATCATTAATCACTGAAACAATCTTTTGTAAATAGTTGAAATGCTACGATTTTTCACAGTTTACACAACGGTTGCTTTAAAATCGATGGCTAGTAATTACACAGGAAAACCCCAATATCGTGTATAAGATATCTTGCATTTGTAGACTACGTTATCAGATAAACACCAAAAAAAGCAATGTTTACTCATCGTAGCAGTTTAAGTTTAAAGATAGATTTCTTGCTATATTTGTTCTCGATTCCATAATTCAAAGTTTACTAATCAGTATATATTTGCTGTCTATAACAGCGTCTACGCAAACAAATTTGTCACTAACCAGAGACTTTATTTGCTGTACAAATATATTGACTATCAGCTAATTGATACTCAATCCTTGCTATTGACGTATTCATATGGTTCATTAAAATGAACAGCTCGTTTGGCTTCTGGCAAGTTAGACAATTTAAAAAGCTTTCGAAACAATTAAAAAATTTCCGATTATTTTTCAATCCCACAACGTTTTCGAAATCAGAGCGGGTCAACGTTCTATTGTGAGCAATTATCTAAAAAATTTCATTACCGATTAAGTCATGTCAATCAGCATTTCCGGTTTTTTTGAATATTTTTTTTAATGAGCTTAAGAACTTTTTGCGCAGCAACAAACAAAAGCCCCATAATGCACTCAAATTGATATTGAGGAAGAACCCTTGAACCTGTGAGGTTTATGACTTGACAATTTTAAGGTCAAATGTTATTGAAGGCGCAAAAGATTCGATCGGATCGGATATCGGGGGCATTAATAAAAGAGTCAACAACTGGAAGCGATTAACGGCAAACAGCTCTACGCAGACAACACAAAAAGATAACACCCCCAGGGGCAACATATATTATTTTTTGTTATCGGACCCGACATCCAAAAAACCAATTGTCTGTCGCCCCAACAATGCGAATGAAATCACTTAGCCTTTTTTTTTTTTTTTTTTTTGAGAATTGTGTGTGAGTGAGTGAAACTCAAGCGGTGCAATTAAAAAGAGATATCGCGATTTTTGATTGCTCAATGTTCGATTAGTGCCCATGGTGCGATTTGGATCCGCTGCTACCGCTGATTGGTGGTCGGCGGCGCATTACTCACTTTAATTGCGCACATTTGGCTTAATTTTTCGCCCCACACACAACACACATTTAATAAATGCAGGCGAGGGCAAAAAATCACAGCATTAAACCGGGAAAGGGGCTAAAACGTTTTGTGAAATTGCGCTTATCTTTTGTGAAATATCAATTGCAGAGTCCGCGAGTGAGCGAGAGAGAGAGAGTAGTTGAAGAAAGCTATGGAGAGAGCGGGAGGTAGTGAGCGGGAGAGGGGGTGTGTCATCGTCACGTTTCGTGTGAATTTATGCGAAGCGACGCGCGCGCCTTGGTAAAAAGTTCACTACAAAGGCGACAGCAACCACCAGCTAGAAAAACAGCTTTCTTCTGGTAACGATGCTCAAAATACCCTGCCATCTTTTGATATCGAAAGTCCTAGCATGATAAAAACATAACTACATAATTAAAAACACCCAGCTTTTTTCAGATACAAATTTAAATTTCACTTAATAGATAAGGAATTACTAAAAGGACAGACGTGATCAACGTGACTTCTATTGTTAAGAAATTTCTTAGTTGGCTAAAATAACAAGACTTTTATAAGGTCACCTTGGCAATAACAGATTACGTTGATGTCATACTGCATTTTGTACATTTTTTCATGGTTGGGTACAAATAAAGAGGTCACCTTGTCAATAACAGATTTTCGTTTATTTTAATCCAGTAGTCTCCAATTTATCGCATCGATAAGATTTACGGAGTCATAAGAAAGCTTTTGTTTTAAATTTAAGCCAATTAGGTTCATCACTTAAACTCTTAATTGTTTAGAGTGTTGATTGGTCTTCCAACCAAACTAGCTGGCCATAAAAATAGCACATGTTTCGGTTTTCACTTTCGAACGTTTTGCTCGAATTCGATTTGCACAAAAATAAATATTTATATGCTTTGGATTCTCTTTTTCTAAAATTGAGTACAGGTCAGGTTCAATAAGTCGAACGTTATACCCATAGACAAATTAAATTTATTAATTATTGATCCATTCATATATATGTATGTATATACCAATTTTATATATGTATTTTTATTTTTATGGAAACAAACCGTTAATGAAAATTTTTTTGTAATCAAAATTCCAATCACACATGTTTAAACTTTCGGGACTTAAAACGTTTTCCAATTGTGCCGCAGGAATTTTGGAGATTGTGGTTTATGTTTTTAAAATTATAAAAAAAGTTTAGTTGCTTTAATTTATATACATATATATATCTTTGTGTCGAATGGCGGCTTTAGTTATAGAAGTATCGCGGTGGATGCAAACTTGGCTCCTTTATTACAAGTCGTAACATCTTATGCAGTAAAACTTCAACAGTATATGGCGTAGGAAGAAAAATATAAGAATAGTAAGTATTTTACTACTTGAATTTGTTTTGAAAGATGTGTGGGTACAATAAAATACAGCAACAAATAAAAACTTTTCAAGCCAGTTGAAGTTTTTATACCGACATTAAACTACTTATTTTTGCTACCGATGCAACCTGGTAGTCTGAATTACCATTCTCTATTGTGAAAATGGTAAGTACTTTACTACTTCACTTTGTTCTCTAACATGGTTCAATGCAATATAGCTTTACACTTGCAAGCACAAACTTTGTCTTTTACAAGACTATAAACTTGTTATAAAGACGTTCTAAATTGATGGTCTGAATTACCATACCCCAAACAAAGAGCATCCTAAAAAGCTAAGGCGACGTCATTGAGCAAACAATAAATAACCCGCTCTGCGCTCTCTCCCTCTCTTTCTCTTGTTCGAGCGCGTGCCTTGTCTACCGCTCCCCTCCCTTCCCCCCTGACAACAACAAGCTTACCGTTACATGCAGCTGCTGCTGCAGCCTGGTTGCCGCCCACTGTGCCTGCGCCTGCTCCTCCTACTGTTGAGCCAGGATTTGTTGTTGCTGCCGATGATGCAGTGGGTGGCTGTGTTGCTGTTGTTGTTGCTGCGCTGGCCGCTGCTGCGGCTGCCATGTGGGGACTGCTTTTAACCAGCCATTTGGCCAGGTGCCTCTGCCGCTCGAGCTCGATATTGCTGCGCTGCATTCCGGACAGCTTGAAGGTCTCGTTCATAATCGCAATCAATCAAACCGAAAAAAACTAGAGCCGCACTGCAACGGGCGATGCGTTGCCGCCGTCGAACGAAATCGAATCCCCAACTTCCACGTCTCGCGAGGTCGATTTTCAGCGGCCAAATGAGCAGAGTTGTCCAACTGCACTAGAGCCCTCGTCGATCGTTGCTGCTGTAACGAGAGAGCAGGAGAGAGAGTGTGAGAGCGAGAGAGAGAGAGAGCAGCCGCACAGTGGGCAACGTTTACATAAGTTAGCGACGGCGTCACCGTGGCAATAACTCGCACAGTGGCCCCAATCTGACAGCTGGGCACTCACAATTATTGACTACCAAATAAATAATGTTTATGTTTGTCAAATATTTTTACGTTATTATCCAATACCTACTTGTTTATTGATTTTTTTTGGGCCGGATGGTTGCAAATATTAGGGGTTGTTCGTTTATTACATTTCGGAAACTCTTGAATATTATACTAGCCAAATTACCAAATTTATTTAAAAATATTTTTCTAAATTGTTTTTTTTTGTTTTAGTACATTGCACGCCAAACTCGACGATTGAGTCACCAGTATTTTAACAGAACTACGAAAATTGCGTTTGAGTCAGTACCTTCAAAATGTGTCATATTTTTGTATGACTTTGAATGACTTCAGTAAAAGTTAAATAATATAAACAAAAAAAACAAAAAGTTTAGGGTCGATAAAAGGTAGTGTGTATGATTGTTACGTACTTTTTTTATATTTCTATTAAATAGGTAAATATTTATTGGTATTAAGCTTCTGAGCTGAAGATCAATGAATGATCCGACTGTGCAAACTTTTTTAACGAGTTCGTACACCCCTTCTCCCAAATGTGACAACAACAATTGCAAAATGAGAAAAAAAAAAATGTTGAGCTTTACAAAAAAAAACCTCAGACGCAATTGATTATTGTTGTTGCTGTGGCTGCTGTGTATGTGTGAGCTACTTTTGCGTGTGTTGTGCATAAATTAAAATTGCGATGACGATGACGACGTTATCAGAAAAGTCAGTTCGCGGTACTCCTCTCTCGCTTTTTCTCCCGTTCGTTGGCTTGTTCAATGTCGCCGCACCTTTTCAGCCCCACCACCCACATCACCCCTCCCCCAGCCCCACCCACTACGCCAGCGAGAGCGTAGAAAACAGAGCCAGTTCGTCTGGCACTGGCAGCAAAAACAACAATCGCGCGTCATCTTCAAACGTTATGCGACAACGTAATCGACGCGATTGTTAAAAGAGTAAGCGAGAAAGAGACAGGGGAGGAAGGGGAGACAGGAATAGTAAGTGGGGGTGCCAGCTATTTCAATCTCATGGGAGCTCAGAACTACGTTATTGGGGGTTTCAAATACAAAATAATCAAACATATTCGAAAAAAGTCTAGGAAGTACAATACTAAAAGAGCGCTAAAAGCTTTGCTTTTTGCTCAAAAACACGGCTTTAGCCACAAAGTGCGAATACTTTTAATATGGACCGATCACAACCCCCAAGTCTCCGCCACTGTTCCCGCACACATAGCACTCATTGTTCAGCACGTTTTTGGTTTGGTTTGTGTTTTGCTTTTATTTGCCGTTTTGTTTTCTTTTCGTTGCCTGGCTCTTTTTATGTGCTTTCCCAGGAAAGAGTATCATAACTTTGTCATAATGTTGGCAAACCATTCGAGCGGCGAAGGCAAATGCCAGAAGGCAGCAGGCCAAAAACCTAAAAAAAAGTGTTGCAAAAGTTTGGGCATGTGCTTCTACATACAATACATACACAGTGAAAATCAAACAATTTGTCACGCTATCACCCTTAAAGTGTAATTGTGGAAGATTTAATTTTTTACTATTGGCTACACAGCTCGACATTGAATATAAGAGTATAATCCCTCTTTGTAATTTTTAAAAACTGACATCTTTTATTACTATACGTTTTTCTCGGTGTATATGTATGTAATTAAGCTTGTATTCTGATCAGCATGACGGGGCATAACAAACGATCTACATACAATGTATGTACATTCATATGATTTTTCGGGGTTGCTATGCCAAGCTTTTCTATCGAAACTATCAAAATTAAGTTGAACGATCTGCAAAATGCTGTACATATGTACATATGTAAAAACACATGTTTGTGCATATGTACATAAAACTGTACATATATGTACTCATAGTCGGAAGCAGATGTGCATATGCTATAAAATAAAGTGTGTGAGGACTCTTTTGTATCCGGGGTGTTCACAATGTTTTTTGCCTCTTTAAAACACTTGCGTTTAAAAAAACTGGGGTAAACTGTCTAAGCAACAGCTGCGATCTCTAAGTGATTTATATGATTTATTAAATGAACTGATTGCATTCTTTTAGCTCAAAGAGTATTCGGAAATCGATTCTTGAAGCCAGCCCGATTTTCAAATAGAAATAGCTGCATGTACAAACACAAGTACATTATATTATAGATTCAACCTTGAATGCATCTTATCGGCAAACTCAAATAAAATAATAATTGCCGTACAAAACTGATGTAACTACATACGTCTATATAAGGAAACGAATGAAGCTCATAAGCATTCATTCCAAACAGCGCAGTTAAACCTTTAATGTAATTTTTTTCCTATTTACATACAACATTGATGCTACCGAATTTAAAAATATTTTTTATTACTAAAAAACATATTATTCTTAAAACTCTTTTAAAATTAATTTTTTTAGCTAGTAAGAACAAAAATATAACAAACTGAGGTAGTCCCAATCTTAGTTTATCAGTAAACAATTGTATCTGTATCTGTATCTAAAAAGAGCATATCAGCTTCGGCCAATCCCTGTATCTCGATTTTCGTGTCCAGCGTTCGTTGCCTTTTGTCAACTGGTTCGGAGGTTTAACTAATAAAAAATAATCGTAGGCAATTCGCGTCGTATTCTAGCCGCCGCCTCAGGTGTTTCCCCAAGGGGTGAGGTGGTCGCACTGCCCATTGTCTATCTAGTTTTTGTATAATTCATTTCTATGCGTAGCTGTCGGCCTGTCAGCTGTCGCCGCTCTTTTTTTTTTTTTTTTTCTTTTTTGATGAATCACAGGCCTCTGCCTGGCCAACAGCGGACCCAGCTAAAAATACACGCAAACTGAAAATGCAAAATTCATGGCCGTTCTCTGCTCCGTCGCATGGAATGCGGTGAAGGCGCTCCTCTCTGCTGATAGCAAATGAGCAATCGCCGGTTAGTTCGGTTCGGTTGGGTTAGCCGTAGTCCATTGGAGGCGATGGAGCGGCGTGCCCAAAAGCCGGCTCTGTTACGCAAATATTGGGAATCCGTTGCCGGGTAACGTGCCCCCATCGGCTCCACCTCTCCATCTCGTTCATCAAAAACAGGCGACACACTCACACTCGGAACAGTCGGGTCAGAAGCTTAGGTTAACGTGGGTTAGATTTGGTTTTCAAGCGAGATTTTTCTAAAAAAAAAAAACCACCTTTATTTGCGAAACTCCTAAAATAGAAATCAACAAGCTCATTGCAAATCTTTAGAAAATTAGAGGCAGTCTGCAAATTGAATCCAATGAAGTGAATCACTTTGTTATCAACAAAGCTTATTAGCAAGTTGGTTTAAATATTTAAGAAGCCTGACACAATGTTAATTATTAAAAAATCAAAAGTAAATGTTAAGTGGTAATTTAACATTAAATTAAATTATTAGTAGTTGTATCAAAAAATGTAATATGGAAATCTTTGCGTGTCTTAAATCAAGTCAAAAGAAATCGCCTTAATAAATCACACATTTATTTTATAACCGAGCAGTAACATACCTTAAATTTTATAATTGGAGGCTCAGCATGCACTTCGGATATATATTTATATTTTTAATTCGCTTTTTACTGCACAAAAAACAAGGTCGAGGCTGTAAACTTTTATTTGAGAGCTAAAGGTTCGTCTTGTTTGATGACCGTTGGAACCACTTTAGACACAGCATGTCCCCATCGATGCGCCCAGAAATGTGTTATGGCCGAATGTGCGGGGTTCTTAAGACGTGGCTTAAACGGACTTACCGTCTGCAGTCTGTCGACCGTCAGTCTTGGCAGCAGCCGCAGCAGTAACGAAGGTGAAACCGATGAAGGGGTGCTCCCCTGCTTCCCCCTCCCCCCGCCGCAGAGGCAAGCAACTGACCAAACTAGATGCCCGATGTTGCCGCACTCATGTGCAACTAATCGACGTGTGCTGGTTTATTGGTTTCAGCTTTGGGTCTCTGGTGCGGTGGCAATTACGCCGCTTCTGCATTTCGAATTTCGCATTTTGCATTTCGCATTGCATTTTGCGTTCGATGATGTGGTCAGGGCTCAGCGAGGGGCTTTCAAAGTACATGGCCTAGCTTATGGCTATGGCTACTATGGTATGGTATAGCTGGCTGCTATGCGGTTTCCCAATGCCGTTAGCCGATGGGCGGAAGGGGGGAAAGTCTCGGGGAGCACAGCATGTGGTCACCCGCTGCTGGACGGGCACGAGAATATACAATGTGCTCTTAACTTAGCTTGTTTATAGTGTATGTATGTGCCTACTAAACGACGAGCAATTATTTATCAAACAAGTGGCAAAGAGAATAACGATGAGCGAGAATCATCGGCGGCGCGGGAATGGGATAATGGGATTGGAAATGGAAATGGAAGGGAATGGGTGGTGGGGTAAATGCATTTTCCTCGAACTCAGTCTGAATTGATTATGATGTTGGGGACGACGTCGGAGATGACGATTTCGTTTACTTTGACCATAATAACGATTACAAATAAGAACGGGACTTACTTGGGAGGAAGTGGAAGAACGAAATGCAATTTGCAAAATGTGTCTCAAAGAGGAACTTGAGAAGCGGCAATGGCAAATAAGAGGAAACCAAGTGTTAGTTAGGGCCATTAAAAGATTATTGGTGGAACCTCTTAGCGCGGATACAAACTGGGTTTGCACTTATCTCTAAAACCGGAATAATTCGGAAAATCAATTTTGTGTGTCAAGTAATAAGTTGTCAATTTCTGACACTTCAAAATTAAGCAATACAAATTTAAGATTAAATACTGCATCATATTTGCTTTGCAAATTTTAAGCAATTTAAATTCGGTATAACCGATTTGAACGTTCGTCGTCATTTTGGTTTATTATACGTATTATATTCATTATGTGCAAAAAGAGAATTCAAAGTGGGTAAAAC